ATCGGATGAGGTGGCCGCCGGAGCGCTCACACCTCCGCGCTCCACAGCCATCTCAGCGATCACATAAACCTGCGGAGCGCGCCGCGCCGCCGCCGGCCGCTATCAGCCGCGCCACAATGGCCGCCGATTAATGGGTCGCCGATACTGGCGCGGCGGCGGCGTTCGCGGCGCCGGGTCTGCCGCTGGGCCGGGACCGATCCCTGTGCCCTTTGAGCCCTGCGCGGCGACCGCGCCCGAGACTTCTGAATAAACATGCCGCAGCCGGGATCGACCTCGCCACCGCTTACGGTAATGGTGTGCGCCTTTGTGGCGCAGCTGTGACAGTGACGGCGCTTTTATGGGCAGACGGAGGCGGCCACACAAACGGACGCGCCGCGCCGCGCGTCGCACGGGCGCCGCTGCCTTTTCCGAGCGACAGTTTGTACAGAGGCAGAGCCGGAACCGGAGCAGCGGTAATGGATTGAGTGGCCCGGCATCGAATGCCCACAGTGGGTGGTTGTTGGTTATTTAACCCCTGCCCAAACGCGGGAAGCTTCAGGTCCCCCGTTTACGCCGACTTAGTTTTCATTTCTGAATATTAAAAATTCGATGCCCAACTTACTATCCATCTTTTTAGCGCGTGTATGTGAAAATTTGAGCAATAGGCCACGTAAGTTCAGATCGCCAGGTACTGTCCAGTGGCCTCAACTCAAGAAGAGCGAGATAAATGCTCCCCCAATGCGCTGACTGAACGATTGCTTTGAAACCCTCAGCGATTAGTTCATAGTTGATGAGAGGTGAACGATACATGACACGTTGATGTCGGTTTTAAGTTTCCTCGAGCTAGTTTGACTTACCTTGGCAGGTGAAGCTACAAGTGAAAAGGCTGTGCATTAGGTACAGTGACAGACTTCTCTATATAAAGGTCTGCGGGCCGGTAAGTACTTTTGATTCAAGGAGTGATGACGGCCATTAAAACATCTGGAATACAGAACCCTGCCAATACCTACATGGGTCGAACATTTAAACTGTTAGTTATTTTGTGGCTTCGGAGCACAGTGGTATAACGCAGTAGCGGCGGAACACATTCAATTAAAGGGGGAGGGGCACTGCCGACTTTTGGTCCCATTCTTTCTATACGACGCCCATAGGGCTGATGTTAAAATGCCAAAATCAAAGGGGGGCACGGTGCCCCGGTGCTCTCCCCGTTCCGCCGCCTTTGGTATAACGACGTAACGACTGTACGATGTCTTATAGGTACATCATAAATATAACAGCTAAGCAGCTCATTGTTTACATTGATCTACAACGCTTTATTAAAGGTAGGTACTGGACTTGCTTAATGACAATCACTTTTCAAAAACGAGGAATAATCTATGTTTCGGCCCTCAATAGCAATATTACATAACCAATGCATGTTAGCATCCTTAGATAGCCAATGAGAGCTCGCATAATTCGTATATAGCCGGGGCTGCAAAGTCGTGTCGGGGCTGTGCCAAACAGGTATAAATTAACTACATAACTCGATACCCTTCCATTGCTATAGCAATATTCAGCATCCAGGAGGGACTGCCAGGGCTATGCTATAGTGCAGGCATTTCATTCGCTTCTTCAGTATACGGTTTACGAAATAGAGCTCTTTTCTGGCCGAGCGGATGCATATTGCATACATTCAGGGCATATGCGTGGAGCGCATGGATAACGCATGCATATAAGGACTGCTTCCTTGCATTTAACGTCATTGCCAGCCCTATAAATCATCCAGATGGTATGCGTAGTGCGTACCCTGGGTGTGCCTGTGCATATTGCGCATTTATACTATGCGTGCAACTCGTTCCAAGTAGACTGCTGGAACGTGAAGCCAACTTGAAGTTCCAAGGCAATGAATGCTATTTATTTGTTCGGTTCGGTTGCAGGTACCTACAATGCTGTATTGACTGAAAATACAGACCAGTCTGTCAAGAGGAGAAAAGAAACGTATTCAGACCGATTTACCTACTCTAGAACAACATGCCGGACTGTTGCCATTTAGCAGATCTGGAACTGGACGGATCTCCCTCCGTAAAAGTGACGCTCTGTAAAGTCATTTGGACTGGCCTTACCCGCCCCTCCCACAAACTTATTTTAGATTCTTGTTTAGATTAGATATACCAAACTTTTGGACCATCTGTTCCAACTATTATCGGAGTGGCTTTATAATGGCACCCTCGAGAGGTTAGAGTCGAACAACTGCTTTATCGTCATCTGTACACATATTTCTCTTAGCTCGCCGGATATGTCACTCGCTGAACGAATTCCTCGGCACTGTTCCCATGTTGACATCAGGTTTTAGTTGCCCCTCCCCCCCCCCCCCCAGTCCCTACCGGTACAGGTCCTCTGCTCACTGACACGATCTTTGAACGTAACGAGGTAACGTTCAGCAGGCAAAATGAGCGGCAACGGCAGCAATATTGGACTGAACGACTCTTCAGTGACTCAGTCCAATACACCCCAGTTATAGGAACTGATACTCTTATAATCAGCACACGGCAATGTTCGGTTATCATCCGGTGCGGGTAGGTACCCACTCCGTCATCGGCCGCTATAACCGAGGCTTCCAACGCAGCAGACTGGAGCGGCCTGTTGGAAACGGGCCGGCCGGTTACAGCCAGCGGTGCGTGGTAGCACGCCACTTCTCCGTATTGCCTCGCGGAGGCGTGAAACATTTTGCACGTCAGTAGACTAGACATGTGACATTTTTAGTAGATGATGGAGGCACTGGTGAGCTCTGCAATGCTGGTGGGCAAGAAGGCAGTCAAGAGAGTGCGTATTTATCTCGAAAAACATTATTTTCAGCCTCTCACGGCACTCTATGGATCAGTAAAATTGTCCATCCTTGCACATGCAGACAACACAGATATCTTCAGTAGGTACATGTAAACTGCATCAATTTAAATGAAACTCACTCAAAAGTGAATGGTTGACGCACAAAATATATATTGCGACAAAATGTACTTCAGCGTTCAACACACGTACATAGGAAAATATCGAAGCGTCAAATACAAAATCCCTCCGGATAAATGCAAACAAGACGCCATTATTAGCATCAGCAGCGAACACGAATCGCGGCAGTGAAAAGTAGGAGCATTGTATCAAATGAAACAGCAAATAAACGAAGGTCAGCCCCTTTCACGTCCATCCACCAGTGAGATTACCTTGCCGCTCGTTCAGGAACATGACACAGTCCGCATTTAACCGTTCCAGACAAAAAACATGTTTTCTCACGACCACACATCAGGGCACAGGTAGCAGCTCCCGAGCGCCACGGTAAAAGCACGTTAAAAAGTAACATCGCAAAATATACGACTTACGAGCCATCGATAAAAAGCTCCAGTACGGCGCAATGCTCAAGCATGTCCCTCCGGCCTCCCGCCCCACGAAACAACGCGCGTCGCACATACACGGGCCCGGCGTATATACGTGACTCGTGGCTACATGGTTCATTTGTCAGTACGTTAGACACGCCCCAATCTCCTAGTTTCTTCTCGAGGACCGCACTTTAACAGGGCTTCATAGACGCAGTAATTCGCAAACCGGTGGGTTCTGTCAGTGGACTCTGCCAGCGGTCAGTATTGGGAGTATCGACCAAGGGGATTAATGGAACTATCACCGGACTTATTTGTAGTTACACCAACTACGAACAGTATCTATACTCCCGAACTAATTTTATCAGACACTTCTACATTTCTTCTAGTGTTGTAGCCACAAGTTTATCTGTATTGTGTGCTCGCACACATGCACGTGCGACTTCACGACACAATCTGCGCTCAAACACACCCATCATGCTGGTGCAACACGTTACGATACCCATAGTTTCCAAAAGTTGTATACAAAAATCGATAAAAATTGATAGACATATGTCAAATACTGCAACATTTGACGAGAGTACCTAGAGAGGAGAACCATTTCATAGCACGCAAATGTGCCGAGCGAGCGCCGTCAATACAAGGGGATTCTGTGATAGCAGATACTGAACAGGAGAGATTCTGGAGAACTTTGTCCCAAGACACGACACCTCCCGAATTAATACTGAACCACTACGTCCGTCTCGGCAGCCCTAAAGGAAGCCCGCCCCGTTCACAACACTTACACAATTCATACACTGGATTATATCGCCTACCACATATAGGCTTCAACGGCAGTTTCACGCGTTCACTTGTAACGGCAACGGCAGGAGAAGCAAACTGGTCCAAAGTTGGGGTGTAAAGCACCTGTTCAGATCTATGGGACAGCAATCGGTGTGCGTTTCGCTTCAAATATCATCAGTGTTGAACTAGGTCATTCCAAAGAAACCTGCCAGGTCAAACGAAACCTTCGGAAACGTTTACACGAGGTTTAACCCACATACTTTCCCTTATCACATACAATGGCGAGATTTGTCAACACGGCTTAAATTGCACACCTTAATGCAGCACATATTTCGCGAATAGGCCTTTGGTTCTACAATCTACCACCTAAGACTAGCAAAAGTGGAAAATGTCCGGAACTTTTCTTGTCACAGTGTTGTGGAGAAATCGAGGGAGACTTACAATGCTAAATCGTATCACACAACATAGGCGTGGCAAGGTATCTGAAAGCAACTTTGTGTGTAAGTCATACACACTATACTCAACTTTATGCTGTTCTCTAGGCATAGACCTGTGAAAGGATATTACTTGCTAAGGGTCCCAGTCGATCGTAATTGAAACTGTACTTAAATTGAACCTAAGGTGCATCTCATATTACGTGCATCAGGCTATGGGCCCGGGTTGGGAACATCGCAACCAGATGTGGCACAAAACAAAGACAGATCCTAGACTGACTAGCTTTCAATAATTCGCACCCATTTACACCAATGTACTTAGTGACTTCCTTTACACCGTCCTAGTAGCTGCCAACCATCACGATAGCCTCTGATCAGCACCGGCCTCCCGTATCGCCCCTGAGCCCACCCGCCTGCCCTCTGCCGGCCGCCGGGCACACTGCAGCCGCCCCGCCGGCCGCTAGATGGCAGTCTCGGCCTTGGCGCGCGGCGCCGCCTCCTCGCCTACCTGATAGGCCACCACGGAGGCGTGGTCCAGCTTGCCGGGCACCACGGCCAGCTTCTCGCAGACGCGCCGGCGGCGGGCGCGCTGCTCGGCCCGGCTCAGCTCCACGCCGTCCCCGCCCGTGTACAGCTCCGGGTCCTCCAGGACCCGCCGCTTGGCCGTCGTCAGCCGGAACGCAAAGTCGAGCAGCTGGCAGCACAGGTGTCGCGCGTCCGTCACCCGGCCCTCGCCCTCCAGCGCGCCGTTACGCAGCAGGTCGTCCATGCGCAGCTGCGTGAGCTCATGCCGCTGCAGGGCGGTGACGACGGGCAGAGTAGGCACCACGGCCGGCGGCGGAACGCGCGGCACCGGACCGGCCGCGATCTGACGGAGGGGGGGGGGGGGGAGGAAGGGCGTCAGATGCCGCGTCAGTTATGAAAAGACTGCGTTGATAAATGAGCAAATAGACGGAAAACACTAAATTTTGCTCTTGACATCTTGACCAGCCAAATGTCCATAACTTTTGGGACGCTAGTAATTCTACTCATTCGGATTATCGTCTCAAATGAAATTCGCGCACAACATACCATTTATATAAAGTAATCCACCCACCCCTGTTCACCGCTACCCACCTGTTTGGCTGACCGGCCCTTGGGCACGGGTGTGAGCACCGTCTTGGAGCCGGGCCGCGGCTGTTTGCCCCCTCGGCCGCTCTCGCCCCGGGCTGTGCCGTTGCCCGCCGGTCGCGCGGGCCGACCGTCGGCCTGTCGCGCCGCCGCGCCCTCTGCCGATCCCCGCCGCCGGCCGGAGCCGGGAGCCGTCCCCCCGCCGCCCCGGCCGCCGGTAGGCCCTGGAGGCGGCTGGGGTCCGCCAGACGGCTCGTCGGCCTTCTTGGGCAGCACGAACTTGCCGACGACGGGGTCGAAGTTGTCGCTGACGCCGTCACTGGTGAGGAAGATGATGTCACCCGGCTCCACCTGGAGGTGAGAGGGTGGGAGGGACGGTTAGAGGGGAGGAGTAAACAGGGGCGGTGTTAAACGGGATTCAACGAGGAGATACCGGGAAATTTCATCCAAGCCCAGCTGGACAGCCTGTGCGAGTGGTCAGATAAGTGGAAGCTGGAGCTGAATCCAAGCAAATGCAAAGTCCTGACTCTGACGTTAAGGCGTAAACCAGTGTTGGGAGTTTACACGATAGGAGGCGTATCGTTGGAGCGTGTTAAAGTTATGCGAGATCTGGGCGTTCTTCTGGACCAAAGGCTTACGTTTGGAGATCATGTTGAGTACACCGTACGCAAAGCTAACAGAGCGTTAGGTCTACTTATGCGGACATTTGCGACGGGAAAACGAGGACGCTCGCTTGACATGTCGAAACACAGAGCCATTTTATCAACGTACTACGCCAACGTCCGCTCAATACTGGAGTACTGCAGTGTAGTGTGGAGTGGAGCGGCGCGGACACACATGCAGCGGATTGAACGTGTGCAGGAGAAGTTTCTGGTTTGGCTCTGTGCCCGCTCCCATGTACGCGGGGTGTCGTTTGTTTACCGTGACCTCACTGAACACTTTAAGGTGAACACCCTAGCTGCCCGACACGAGCAGCACGACATTATGTTTCTCCGAAACATTCATCGAAGCGAAATATGTTCGTCATTTCTTCTGGAAAAGTTTCCCATACACGTGCCGCCCCGGACACTGCGTACACAGTCACTGTTCGCTGTCTCGTTTGCAAGGGTAAACACTGTTCGCTCATGTTCATTCAACCGCATACCGAATGTGTGCAACGCATTCTTGGAGGCGAACAGGGATGTGGACGTCTGGGAGAGTAGCATGGCAGAGTTCAGGTCAAGAGTGAAACGGTATGTGAGTGAGAGACACAGATAGGTAGGTGTAACTGTTCGGCTGTTACTGGAAACAAATGTTTCTAGTCTGCTTTGTTTTTACTGTGCTCGTTTTTACTGTGCTTGTTTAGTGTGTATCAATGTTTTATTTGTTGACTTCATCTGTCATTGGGGTAACGCCCGTTGGTGATAAAAGAATAAATGAAATGAAATGAAATGAAATGAAAGACCAGCACTGACACAAGTAGGTAGGGTAAGGGCGGGTAAGAGTACGCGGGCGATAAGAGTACGCATCAGCTGTTTCGGTTGCTTAGCAACGCGGGTTTGTCGAGTTCATAAAGTGACATGAAGCCGCCAGTGCGTGCATGTCACCAACGGAACGTGGGCGTTGAGCGGCGACGCTGTTGAGTTTAAGGCGATGAATATTATTTTCGAGCGTTATGATATTATTATGATATGGTACAATAATTTTGATACTTGGCAGTTGAGATAAGGTACATTTCCGTGATTGTTGTGGGAAACTTGTGAGGTTATCTGGGGTAATACTGTACAGTGCAATATTCTGTTTGCGAAGTTTTGCACAACGTTTCGGGGTTGTTTTGTGCGCGAATTGCATGTACGGTAAGAGGACGCACTGTTCAGGAGGGTAAGAGTACGCAGAATTATACATTAAATCGAATATACAGAAATATATAATTATTAATCTATCGCTCAATGACGTTTGTTTTGTAGGTATATCATCAATGGAGCACTGTGATGCAGATGCGTACCCGAAATTCTTCCAAATACGAGCTATTCTCCTTTTTGATTGTGCATTTTTTTTAAAGAAACATACGACATGATTATTTCCTGATTTATAGACTTGAAAGATTTATTTTATGTTTTTCTTTTTGGATACTAGAATTAACTTAAATGCCTTCTGAGTTTGAAGTTAAGCATTTGGACAGTACAAGCTGCATAGGTGTGTGTTCATATGCTTGCGTACTCCACCCGCCTGACGTGCGTACTCTTACACACCCCATATGGTAAGAGTACGCAAGTGCAACGGTTCAGAAAATGTCAGTTTTAGACCACTTCCATTTACGCTGAAGGATTGTTGCCCCATGGGTTGATGGCTAATTCAATGAACTTTAATATTCCCTATTTGCGATTTCTTTCCTTCAAATATTAAACAAATGAGAGCAAGAAATCCACTAAGTGCGTACTCTTATACGACTTCACCCTACAGGTGCACACAAGCATGCAGCACTCTGCAAATACCTGAGCTCAAAACCACTAGCCTTTTCTTGAAGCTAATTATAGCTCGCATTGAAATCCTGCAGCTTTGATAACAATTTAAACAAACCAAGGCATTCATAAAAAAGTTGCGAAGTTGTAAAAGATAGGCACCACTCGCTCGTCCGACTCTCTGCGGCGCGGCTCTGACCTGAGTCATTGACAGGGTGAGGTTGTTGAGCTCCGGGTTCTGACCGGCCACGGGCCCCAGCGCTCCCAGAGCGTCCCGCATGTCGCGCATGCTGTTTATGTCGTGAGAACCTGTCGGAAGAGACGACATCGGTTACAGCTCAGTGCCAGATACAGGAGCGGACTTAAGGGCAGCCATGGTGTTCAGGAGTGTATGATGTACACCATTTCGTACCCGAAGAACAGTGCAAACACAAACATTGAAAACATATCTCGGCATCATAATTTCTTGGATCAATGATTCTTTGCACGAAGCCAAGCATTTTCATCATGAGTATTCCAAAATCTAAAAGCCGTCCAATATTCAACAAACGCTCAAAGCCAGCCACTCTCTCCCTTTAAAAAGCAGCCAGTACGAGTATCAGCAATACCCACCTTTGGTGATTTCCCTGACACCATGCCGGGAGCTGAACACATACGCCAGACTGTCTCCGACATTACAAACGCAGACGACGAATTTGGCGCGCGTGCGCCCTTGCGCCAGCTGGCAGGGCACCACGGCGGCGGCGGTGAGGGTGGTGAGCATGCCGCCCTCCTGCAGGATCAGACTGTGTGCCGCGTGAAACGACTGCAGCAGCGCCGCAAACACGTCCTGGGGGAGGGCACAGAGGGCGGAGAGAGTCGGGTCAGCGCGCCGGGAGCATAGAGGAAGGAGTTGGAGATGTATAGCTGTGACTGGGTCATGGGTGGTTTCAATCAATTTCATAAATCAATATCATGTCTTTATTTATTCTGATCTGTCGAAAAGTTAAAGCATATAACCCATGAGAGAAAGGTCTAGAAGATTGTGTTTAGGTGGCCAAGTAATTTGAAAATTACTGATTATGGGAATAAGGTGTTCGTATAGACATTCAGCTCACCAAGCATCGTGAGAGTAAGAGAATTGCAAGAGTTTGGCATACTTAGTGAGGAAAAGACACGAAGCTGTCAGCGAGATAGTGTCAAGCTCTGCATGTTACTGAAGATTAATCTCGACCAAGGCCCGCAAAAACCGTGGCGAGAGATGCGCATATGGATATAGAGGAGTCGTGGCGTACCATCTCCATCAAACCATTCACCACATCACATGCTATTTCGGGACCATCTACTGCGCCCATCTCTTTCACTTTGCGTCTAGCTCGCCTTATTTCCCCGCGGAATAGCGGTGCTGGCTGCCAAAAATGGATTCAATGCCGCGCCGAATGGTCGGCCCGGAGCCGGCCGCCGTCGACCAAAACCGGTACGGGGGCGGCCGGACCGGTCTGAACGGGCCGATCGGCACAATGTCGGGTAAGTTGTCACCGACAGGTCCCATTGGATCCAACCGAAATGAATCGCCGCTCCAAGCAGTCGCGCCCAGACTCTGCCCTACTGTGCCGGGGAGAGGGGATGGGGCAGGGACAGCCTTACTGTGCCGGGAGGGCGGGGAGGGGACACTCAGGGCAGCCCGACTCCACCAGACTAGCGTGATGTCGGGCAGTTAGCCGTGCAGCCGGCTGGAAGTCAGAGGAAGTCCCGACGGCCGCGGTCGATGGGAGAGGGCTGGTATCGATCCCGTGCAGAGTGCATGTCGCCCCCACCCACCCAGAGGCACCAGGGCCGACCCCGCTGCCGTCCGCGATGACGCACCCCGTGACGCGGTGTCGCCGGGACTGGAGACGGCGGCACGTGGGCGAGCACCTACATGGGCGTGACGTGCGGCAGATAGAGAGAATCGCCGGGGTATTATCCGTGCACACAGACATCGGCGGTGCGTGATGTTTTTACTTCTTTCTAAAAACAGATCAGGGACCGACGGCACTACGCAGTGTGGCCTACGCAGCACGATAGCCGTCTAAAAATGTGTCACGTATGCTGGATGATAATGCATGTGTTCAACGTAAGTAACTTCTTTTGAACCAGATAAAAGGCCGAGCTAAGCTGAGCTAACCCATTATCCATGTATCTGGTTGAAAAGACGGGCTTTTCCCGGTCTGATGGGCTGCAAAAATACACGCCAATGCACCTAGAAGACACAAAGGTGATCCTACTCTTATTCGCATGATGCCCCTCTTATCTGTCAAGCGCACTTAAGCACACCACTCCAGTCAGTCCACGCCTCTTCCCACCACACCCTTGACTGTCGTTATACTAGGTATATATTCTGCGCCCACACCCACCTGTGTACTCTGCACGCTGGCGGCGGCGCCGAACAGCGCCCGGTTCAGGTAGTCGAGGCAGCCGTGTACGGCACAGCGCGCTGCCAGCCGGGCCTTCTCGCCCCAGTTGACGCCGTCAGCCAGCGCCAGCAGAGCGCTGTTACTCCGACACACCACGCCGAACGCGTCGGCGATCGGCTCACCTGCGGACAACAGAACGGGAGGGTAAGGCAGTTTGACACAAAAGGGACCGGTGTGGAACGAGTGTGAATCCAATGACAAGAACACAGTGTGGCTAAATTCATTTTACGTTAGGGGGAGAATGTGAAAAAAAGGCCGGAAAGGATGTCGTTATTTTCATAAAACTTGACTTTGACCCTTTCTTCATACATATATGTCACCGTTTTCATATACTTCACGAGAAAATGATGTAGAAATATTGAATAGGTACTGATAAAATTTTTAAGGCATTCTGATATTCGGGAGAGGTTTTTGAGTCGGGTCATACATTCAAATATTTTGGTTATTTGAATGGTTGTCTTGGCGTCTTTTGAGAGTTTGCGAGGAGTCGTGTTTCTCTTCCTCCTAAAAGTTTAAGTTCGAGGTTATATTAGAAGTTGTGACTGCCGTGAGGATGTCTTTATTTCTATTTTTAGGATGTCATTATACTTTTCATTATGGGTGGATTTCCCCGCAACATTACAATTTTGGACACACTGCAAGAACATGTGCTTGAACCGGCAATATGCAGCAGAAGATGTGGGAGTTTGAAAAGACGCTCAACTGTAACGGACATGTAACTACGGAGAACGGACTCCTCTAATGCGTTCTGATGTCTATTCAACAGTCAACAGGTTTCGCGCACGTTAAACTGCGCGCCCGCCGCTGTTCGGCCCTGTTCGGTATCCGGCCCCCTCTATTGTACCCAGTCACGAAATGACGTGACCCGAACACTAGGTCAATGTGACCCGACACCGCATCCCATTACATAATGAGCTCCTGAGCACGATACGCTAACACGCGCTGTTGGTACGGCCTGACAGCTGTGGCCAGGGCACGCCGGGTCCTCCTGACACGCTAAAAAACGAGGCAACACCGAAACCATTTCTTCGTAACAACAGAGTTACTCCAAAGTTTGATTCAAACAAAGAAATAATTTCTTTCGATCATGTTACAGAACTTTCGATGTCGCTATAAAACGAGAAACACGAAAATCGTTTCAACGTCTCTCACTCACAGTTGAACTACACGTATCACATAGGATGAGTCCCGCCGATCTCGCCACCCTTTCCTCCTCCCTCCCTTGTCCCTGAACCCGTGACTTTCCCTGCTTGCTCACTTTCCACGCCTCTGAACTCTCCCTGCCCCGTGTCCTGCGCCCCTCACCCTGCCCCGTGTCCCTGACCCCTCCCTATCCCATGGCCCCTGTCCCCGGCGGCTGACCTGCGTGCACCCCGGTGACCGGATGACACTCGTACAGCGACACGGAGCTGCCGAAGGCGCGCGGGTGCGGTCGGTTCCAGTTCACTGTCCCAGCGATCTCGTCATGCTGAGTGCGCCGCAGGCACTCGTCTGGAGGGGCGGGTCAGAGGTCACATGTGGGTAGAAAAGGTCAATCAGGGCAACACATGATAATAGTAATGGTAACTTATGATTACAGAGATTGCGATGGCCATTGAGTGCAAAATCTAAAAATAACAGGTGTAAAGTAATCAACCTTGTAAGCTGTCAAGAAAATATAGCCAATTAGCAGTGGGACAAGGGCATATGCCATTATCGATAGTGACATCAAATGTCTAGCTCCATTCAAAGTGAATATTTTCCTTTATTTTAAGCTAATGATTGCAGAAAGTCATCGATGTCTACGCATTCCTAGAAAATCGTAACACATGCACTCGTCGCATACGACATGTCCTCTTTACATTTACAAGCATACGGCGAACCAAGTAAAATCATCATTTGCAATACAAACTAAATCAGCAGCACAGCGTGCAAATGCCGTGCGCGCGTGCACCGTGCGCTCTGTTCTACTCTGCAGGCGGCGCGGACAGCCGTGCAGCCGCGCGGGGAAAGTGAGCGCGGTGTTCGTGCACGGTGGGCACCCCGTGTGATACCATCGGCTGTCCCACGGCACACTGACACAGTGAACGTGTACACGGGACCGAACTGCGCCGGCCGGCCGGCCGCGGGCGAGCGGTGTAGCCAGTTAGGTGGGCCATGACTTCAACGGTCGAGTTTTGCCGATAGTCAATGGAAATTTTGAGTGATAATTTTGATTTTTTATCAAATATTTCAAAAGAAGGCGTCACATATGGATAAAATACAGCGCCAACCACAAACCACCACGCACCCAAACTGACATCTGTGTGAAGCGGCAGGTGGATCCGAAAGTTGGAAGCGAAGCATAGCCAGGCTAGTATTGATGACCATCAACTTTGAAAAAGAAAATGGTCGAATAAAAATTACGCGACTGAACTTTAACGTTTCAACGCTCAAACAAAATTAAAAGAAAATCATCTCAATTCCAACTTAGATCCGCTCCGCGCTAGCCTTGATGATTTATAAATCAGAAGGTGAGATACTGTTAGTCAAATGCGTAAAATGGAACCAAAACAGCAGTGATATGAAAAGAACAGTCAAAACACCGCATGCAACAAAACCAGACACTAGACCGAACGAAACTGTAAACGAGATGTCAGAAAAAAAAGAAAACCACGCCAGGCGCGAATAGCGACGCAGACGGTGTCAGACGAATTAGCGGCGTGCTCCGTTAGTCTCGCTAAAAGTCAGCTCCCAAACAGTCTGCGGAGCACACAGAGCCGCGCCTCAACCCGTATCGCTACAAATGCAGACCAAACGAAGAGAGCTATCCAAGAGCACTAGCGTCGGCACGGCTCGGCCTGGCAGCGCACCCGTCCTGTATCCGCAGCGCAGGCCGGGCAAGGCAGGCAAGAGGCAAAGCGGCGGTCCGCAGGTGACACTCGTGCGCACGTGCAGCGGCCGGCTGGCTGAGCTGGGTGGGTGCCCGTGCGCGCCTTACCGGGCCTCGTGTACCGCTGGTAGCCGAGCAGGTGGGCGCCGCACGGCTCGGCCGCTGGCCGGTCCGGGCCGCTCTCGGAGTCGGAGGAGCGGCCGTCCGGCTCGCCCCTCCGGTCCCGGGGCGGGGTGCTGACGGCCGCCGGGCCGCCCGCCGAGTGGATCGGGGTACTGGTGGCGGCAGGAGCGGCCGGCGAGCCGGAAGGACAGAACGCTGTCCGCTCCGGCACCGGCCGGCCCGCCGAGGAACCTGACGAGGGAAGGTCTCCTTTTGGGGCGGTATCTCCTCCCTGAGCTGTACCACTGTCTGCTGGCTGCTCCGCTGTCTCTGTGGGAGCCCCCGGCGCTGCCGTGTCCCGCCCCTCCTCCCCAACCCTCCCTGTGGACACCTCCCCCGACCCCGTCTGCACCGGGTCTATCGCAGACCGGTCGCCAGTAACGCAGCCCGAGTCGACCTCGCTGCCGCGCTCAAAACTGATGAAACTAGCGCTTCTGGCCGGGCTTCCCAATTCAGAGGTCGGTATTTGACTGCAGCTGCTGCCCAGCCCGCCGTCCAGCTGAGAGACCGACCCCTCCCCGGCCACTCCGCCATCCTCGTCCGCAACGGGGAGTCCATTGGGCTGTGACGAGTCCTTTAGTTCCCGATCTGGGGACGACTTTAGCTCCTCAGTAGCGTTGGTGGGAGTGGGACACTCGTCTGAGGAGCGGCCCGTCGGTGATGATCGCTCCCTCGCAGCGTCCTCCCCGTTCACCGTCCTCCCGTCCTCTCCTCCGGGGGAGCCGGGAGCCGACACTGGCGTCGCCGCCGTCGGAGTGGCCGCCTCCACCGACACCGGTCCAAACTCCTCCAGAGAGGAGGGCCCCAGGTCGTCCAGGGAGGCGGCGGCCCTGCCGGCGGCCGGCGGTCCACCCAGGTTAGGTAGCGAGTCGCTGTTGGTGCTGCACAGCGAGGTCATCATGGTCTGGAGCAGCTCTTCCTCCTCGTCCAGCCGGTGGTCGCTGAAGCAGCGGCGCGCCGGCAGCGTCTGGGCCTTGCAGCGGGCCAGGTCGCCCTGTCGGATGCGGTACCAGCGCTCGTAGGGCACCGGCGGCGAGCGCGGCACCCAGGTGGGCAGCGTCAGGTTACCGGCGAGCCGCTGTCGCGGGTAGTGGAGGCGCGCCAGCCGCGCCGCCAGCGACGTACCGTCCGCGGGCGCCGGCTCCTCCTCAGACTCGTCGTCTGAGTCGATGTAGTTGATGCCCGGCTCACTGGAGGTGACCGGCTGGGCGCGGTGCGGCACGGCCGTCAGCCCGCCGGCCGGGCCCGTGTAGGCGGCCACCACGGTCGGCTGCAGCGGGCCGATGCGCTGCTCCGGCAGCTGAGCCGCGTCCCGCGCGTGGTCAATGGCCACCTCCGAGCGCGACAGCTCGCTGGGGGCAGGGGCGGGGGGTTAGGGAAGGGAGTGGCTCACATACACTGGTCTAGATGTAAGTAGCAATGCCTTGGATGTAATTCATCAACTAAATTGATAGGGATTGGTCTGGAATATGTCAGTTTCAACACATTAAAGCAAAATACACTGCAAAACTAGGGTATTATTTTGAAGAAAGTTAATATCAGGTGGTTACTGGCTGCATCATGCTCAGGAAAAAAAGATAGGAATCTGGTGATAACTGGTGAGCCCACTTCACTTCTGAGTATAACAAATGTCCAAATATCAATGGGTCCATTTAAGGATCAATAGTACAAACCAAAGTTCATAGACCAATAGGTAGTTGCCAGCAACACATCATGATCAAAGATCCAAAACTGTTTGATAGGGCAATAGTCAACAAAAGTTTTAGTAGCCAGAATGTCACCTGGATGAGACTAATGAGCAGGGAAACAGAAATACAATGCACTATATTGACTCATTAGTCATTGATAATCACGTCACATCTCATCACCATCACATGAATGTTAATTTCTAAAGGCATTGCAAGCATACAGCTGCATTCAGTCTGGAATAATGCTTGATAAAGCATATTCTTATTACCGTAAAACGGGGTGTTAAGGGACAGTTTTGAGGTGTTTTGTTATATAACTCAAGAAGGGTTGGAGATAGAAGCATCAAATTGTCAGCATTTTATGTGGAATTTGGTGCTTTACATGCCTACCACATTCAAATTTTTAAGATTTATACCTGCATATTATTTTTTATTATTTTTCATCACTGTCTCTTAGCACCCCAATGTGGGGTGTTAAGGGACACCTATATTATTCCAAGAAATGGTCATCAAATGCCCACAATTGGGGCGTGGAAGGGCACACAATTTATTTATTGAAATGTTTTGCATATTCTGTCACAACACAAGTCAGGTTCATTCACCACTAATGACCTTTTTATAAAAAGGCCAATTACGTCTAATGCTGTTAACGCTTGTGGAAAATGTGCTAATTATAAGGTAAACAGAACCAAAAAGTAATCTGTCATCAATAAAAACCCATGTTGAAGTTAGTCACTTGTCATTATGTTGCCCTATTTGTTTTGGCCTTTTTATGATGACATCACATTTACCTACATCAGTCTCCATTGACCCATCATTGTAAAAGAGAGTGTTGAGATGTTTTGTTACGTAACTTAAGATGTGTTAGAGATAAAAGCATGAACTTGCCAGCATTTTATGTGGAATTTGGTGTTTTCCATGCCTACTGAAAGAAAACTTGATAAAATTATATTTAGATTTCATTTTTTATTTTTTTCTTCCCTGTCCCTTAGCACCCCACATCCACCTCAAAATATGCATGTATCCAGAAAAGAGGAAGAGGATGATGAATGAATGGGTGGATTTGCACAAGTTTTTCAGGAAACATGTGCAATACATGTGACAATACACCTATGCATTCATTTTCCCTGTACACCCACTAGTTTATGAGGTACACACAGAGTTTTGGAGATGTTTCAATTTTGTGAAAATGTAGCATGATTTTCAAATCCATTTTTGAACCAAATCACTTGCATGAAAAGCCATAGCATTTTGTCCTATGGTCAACAGCAAAACAGTGTCAACTACCACACTGAAGTTTTTATTGAACCTTTTCAAATTAGGAAGTTAATATGACTCAAAGTTTTTCCCATGCAACTGTCCCTTAACACCCCACTGTCCCTTAACACCCCATTTTACGGTACTATTTGCCACAGATTTCACAACCATTCTAATACACAGAAATTCTAACAGAAAATGCCAAAAGGAAGGGCAACCTCAATAAGCAGGGTAAGCCACACCAGTGTTCTCTGATGAGTCTCGTACTCACCCATTAAGATACTTAGTTATAAAGCATCCATCAGTGCTCCCACGCAGATCAGCAACAGATTGGTCAGCTGCAGCACAGTGGCTATTGCTTGATAGCTGCCGCAAGAATCCAGCAAACCTTTTCTTGATATTGGAAGGCATTACTCATTCAGGTGACAATCAGTATCAATTGATTTCTGATAATGAATTAATCCTACCTTACTGAATAGCTATATATCTGCTCAGAACGGCACCATAAACTAGGGATAAAATCACATAATTCTAAAAATGCGCTGGAAAATGGCACAAGGTCAGATCTTGATTTGCATTCGCACATCTTATTAAATGGATTATCAAATAAGGAAACAAAAATAGCAGGACATGTGTAGTTAAGAGTATGCAATCAAATGACAGGCCCAAATATTTTAAAACGGACTGACATAAGAGATAAACCACCGCCCACCATCACCACCCCTCAGCATTTTCACAACTTGAACTGGGAGCTGGGAGTTGGCTGCTGGGAGTTGATGTGATAGAAAATCACAGCCAAAAGGATGCAAAATGTTCAATTACTCCTTTCTTTGTGCTTGCTCAGCCCTACGCACATATTTAAACGAATCACAGACGTGATTGGATAAAAAGGGCTATTTCGAGAACAGTTACGAACAGGTGAAGAATTGAAGAAAGTGCGCCACAAATGAAATATATTTGTATATTTTTTCTTATTTTTATCCTCCATTTTAATGCTATCGTCTTACGTCATTAGAACAAATATTCATATAGTGTCAATATTTTTGTTTGAAGAAATACCGTAAAATGTCATGAATTTTGGTCAATTTATCCTCAGTTATGTTAGAAAAAATATTTCGAACATTTACATAAGCCATAAAGCAAGATTGATGCATTGAAATGCGAATTAATATTATCTCATGACGTAACAAATATCAGGAATGAAACAGCATCAAATATTGAATGTATTCTGCATATTTGCTGAAGTTGGGAGGGTTGCGGTTTCTCTTGCTTGTCTGTGCCAGGGGGGCGACACGGCTATTCGCGCAATGTATTCAGTTATGGGCCGCGCGGGGCCTCGCGATGACGCAGCTGGAGGCAACTGCTCAGCGCGCTAGGATACTTCTGGCGGGGCCGGGCGCTGAACGGTGTGCAATGAATGGGTTATGGGCGGGCGGACAGAGATAAGGTATTGAATTTGAATTGACATCAGCAATCGGGTGGGGAGGGAGAACGTTTCTAATCGAGCTTGGGATGGGGAAAGCCGAAAATGTCACGATCGGATCATAGCTCCGACAGGGCCGGGTGCCGTACCATGTGTAATATATTTAGGCGGGCAGACAGAGATCAGTTATTGGATTTAAATTCACCTTACCATCGGTTTCTGGTGGTGTTTGAAGACGTTTTTAGTCAAGCTCGGGGTCGGGCAACCCACTGGCGGATCCACCCAGTAAACATGCCGACGTCGGCCGACGTCGGTCCAACCTCGGCACGACGTCGGCTGGATGTCGGATATGCTCGCATGTACCGACGTCCAGCCGAGGTCCAGCCGACGTCGGGCCGACGTCGGACCGAGATCAATTGCTGAGGTCCAGCCGACGTCGGGCCGACGTCGGGGCGACGTCGGACCGACATCGGCCGCTGTTTTGACCGTTAAAATAATATAAAATACATGTTTCATGGTTCATAAAGAGCTTCTGTATCCAAAATATAGTATCCTCAGGAAACTCAAATCTTCTTCGACGCCGCAACCCCCTGATCCGGACTGGACGGGAAACTTTATCCCATTTGGGATTGCCCGTAAGCCGAGCTCGCCCGTAGCCGGGTGCGGTGAGTGCTTGGGGGCTGCTCGGCCTATCCTTTGGTCAGGCTCAGCCCCGGCAACTCACCAGGGCCGGGCCCAGTTCATATAGAAAGACCAGTCGGCAAGTGTCACTTTGCCAAAGTGCCACTTATCAAAGGGACACTTTGGGAACGTTGGTGCAGGTGTTTGTTTTGTTGGGTTAGGCCCTTTCGGTCCAATTACACCATTTCAGAGCCGGGAGGATGATAGGATATAGGGGGAGACATTGGTCTGGGCAGGCACCCTAGTGAGTCGCCGGGGCTGAGCCCGTCCAGAGGACAGGCCACCCAGCTCCAAGGCACTCACTACACCCGGCTACGGGGTGCGCTCCCTCGGGAGCAGCGGTGCCGCTCCAAGGGAGCAGCCCGCATGAGATAAAGTTGCCTGACCAGCCCGGAAGGGGGTTGCGGCGTGGAGGAGAAGGATTTCAGCATCCTGAGGATAGAAGCACGGAACGGTGGTGCAGGTGTGTTAGAGTGGCTATATAGGTATGAATCCATTGTGGGATCGCTCTTTCCAATAAGTGTCACGTAACAGCAATGGGACTAGGGACTCTATATGAACTGGACCCAGGGTGCTCGCCAAGAATATCAATGTCTCCACTCTCCATCCTATCATCCTTCCGGCTCTGAAATGGTCTTGTCAGACCGAAAGGCCATAACACAACAAAACAAACTAAATTCGCTATCTGGCTGCGTGGTGTAGTGGTTAGCGCACTAACCTCGCTTTCAAATGACACGGGGTTCGAATCCCATCGCCGGCTGATGCTTTTGCCGTGTTGTCCCAGTAAACATGCCGACGTCGGCGACTGGGGGGCTCGAATCCCGCCGCCGGTTGATATTTTTGGTGCGTTGTCCCAATAAACATGCCGACGTCGGCCCTGTCGGTCCAACGACAAACGATCTCGTCAACCTCGGCAAACGACCTCGGCCCGACGTCGGCTCGACGTCGGCTGGACTTCGGATGGACGTCGGAACATGCGGGCATATCCGACGTCCAGCCGATGTCGGGCCGAGGTTGAACCGACGTTGGGCCGACGTCGGGCCGAGCCTCGGCCCGACGTCGGGCCGACGTCGGCATATTTACTGGGCAGGGGAAGGCATTTGGGGCAAATGTCTTCCCCACAACCGGGGCAGCGCCAGAAATCGCTTTTCGAGAATAAAAGAAAACTTCACAACTATTCTGAGGAAATGTTGGTTAATCACACTGCACAGCAGTGCGCAAGAAATCGAAATCCGAGCTTCTTTTTTAAATTAATTCGGAAAAAACCTTTTTGAGGTTAGCCCCCGCAGTGTCCAAGACCGCTTCCTTATCCGCCAGTTGTGAATAAGTCTGAATGAAGTCACGGTCGATACCGAGCTTCGGCGGGACCAGACGCCGCATACGTTGTACGTACTGTGAGAAACTCTGTTCCTCCGACACGGCCAGACCGTGGCTGCACCGCCGGACCCGGCGGACCGCGCGGCGACCGCACCGCACCCCACCGGCTGATGGGCCCGGCGCGCCCTCTAATCTGCCGACGGCCGGGGGCGGAATGCGGCGGCGGCCGCGCACAAACAACAGCGGGGGAGGTTGCGGCGTGGTGGGAACCGAGAGCCGGCGCAGGAGCGTGACCAGCAGCAGGTCGACAGACCCGAGCTCCTCCGACGGCGCAGCGGACCACACCGGACCTCCTGACGCCGCCCCTGCGACATCCATCTCCGCCATCTACCTGGCCGACCGACTCCCACTGTTCGGCGCCGCCTGCCGCCGGAGGGCAACAAACAACCCCACCACGATAGGGGCAGGCCGGCGGCCGGCGAGGTCATTGCCACGGCGAGTCGGTGACCTCTTCTACTACGGTGTCCTGAGTTCTGTGGCTGTTCTGTTCTGCTCTGTTCTGTTCTGCTTCTGTCCTGTTCTGCCCTGCCATGTTCTGTGCGCTCTGTCCTGCGGGACTAGCCGTGCGTGCCGCGCCCGAGGCAACTGCCAACCGCCGGAGGCGCGGTATATAAGCTGAGTCCCGCAGTGATCCCCCTCCCTCTTCGCTCTCCACTGGAGTCTTGGACTGCCCGTGCGCGACTTGTGCGTCCATACCTCCTACCCAATATCATGTAAGTAAAAGGGTGCGGCCCTTATTGGGGCAGTGTATATATAGCCATGGTCAGTGTAATCATGTGTGCTTATGTAAATAATTACTTTGAAAACTTGCACAGTCTGTTGTGGGACAAATGGTGGGGGAGAGAATGAACGGCGAACTGAACTGAACGGCACCGAACTCGGCAAACGTAACCTAGAGCGGCTCGGAAGCTCAAACAAACGCTACCGACACAGTTAACTTCGGCACGCCACGCTACCAATAGTAATCCCAACCGTAGCAATGATAGAAATAAGGAACGTAACAACCTATAGAGAGAAAAAATAGTTTCACAGTGGTGGCAGCGGTGGGATTTAAAACTGACTTGTTTTATTTTAAGCACGCCTAAGGCGAGCTAATTAATTTATTGTCGGTTCCGCTCCAAACAGGGCGGCGAACCCAACGTTTTTTTTTTTGCAATATATTTCTTAGATTGTGATTTTGTTTTCCCTTTAAATGTAAGTCATGTATGTAGGTATCGGGCCGTTCATGTTCGCAGTGGTTCATCTCCCCCAACCTGTCCCGGCCAGTGGGCCAGGCGGGCGGCTCGGCCCTCGCGGTCAGTCACCGTGGGGTGCCAGCGCCGGCTCGCGGCGGTCCCGCGGCAATTAGGCCCTGCCCTCCGCTCTGTCTGATTGGTGTAGGGACGGAGGATGGGCGTGGCCAAATTGAGTGTGGGGCTGAGGGGTGCCTCTGAGGACAGTGTATGCCCAGGTGCTTTCCGCGTCGTCACTGAGGTTTCTCGGGCCCATTCGTGCATTGTGCTGAAAGCAACGAGTTTTGAGGTGAGCGATGGAATTCGCACTTATCGAAGTCGCGATTGCCCTACCAGTGACCCGGGACGATTGTTTATGAGGGACCGGCTGCCGTCTCATATTGCAAAGTGTACACGCCCCAAAAGCCCATCAACTGAGCGGTAGGCCAAGCGCGGCTTCGGGCCAAACGTTGTGTGGGGTGAAGCGCTGCTCCACGCCTGATTGGGACTGCAGCCCATCAGAGCGAAGTGGGCATAAACAATCGTCCTGTGTGAGTCGATACCCGACTAGAGATGGGTTGGTTCGGGGGTAGAGGCCCTATGTCCATAACGCTACTCGTTTCTTATTCAGGGCTTTCAGCACAATGACCGAACCGGAAACCCGGAAACTGCGAACGGGGAACACTGACCATGGGAAATAATAGGATGACAGTTTCTTCCAGAGCATTACCGGACCACGCGTTGGTCAGGATGCGAGACCACTGCTGGAGACGCCAGCAGCGGAATGAGAACGGGCTGGAGGCGGTGGAGGAGCCGCAGCTCCGGGAGGACTATTCGTCCTCCTCGGGCGCAGAGTCACAGTTGGTAGTGACCGAACTGACTCCACAGGTCCCCCAAGAGAGGAGGCGGCGGCACGGCCGACCCAGGGCCCACGAGGTCTCAACGGATAGGAGACCCCTGACCGTTGTAGTCCCTGAGGACCTATATGGCCTTGCCCTGAGCAAACTGAGTTGGGAGTAAAGTAAGGATAGCATTAG